AAACTCAACCTTTCTGGGAAGTGTCCTAGTTAATCTCGCCCTCTATGAGGCTATGAGGTGCCACTTCTGTCTTCCTATAGCACCAAAATACATTTTATTTTTTTGAGACAGAGTCACGCTCTGTCACCCAGGCTGGAGTACTATGGTACAATCTCAGATCACTGCAACCTCCGCCTCCCAGTTTCAGCTATTCTCATGCCTCAGCCTCCTGAGTAGCTGGGACCACAGGCACGTGCCTCGACACCTGGGTAATATTTTTTTATTTTTATTTTTTTAGTAGAGATGGGGTTTTTGCCACATTGGCCAGGCTGGTCTTGAACTCCTGATCTCAGGTGATCCACCCGCCTCAGCCTCCCAAAGTGCTGGGATTAGCCAGGCGCGGTGGCTCACGCCTATAATCCCAGCACTTTGGGAGGCTGTGGCGGGCAGATCACCTGAGGTCAGAAGTTCGAGACCAGCCTGACCAATATAGTGAAACCCCGTTTAAAAAAAAAAAAATTAAAAATTAAAAAAAACCAAAGTGCTGGGATTATAGGCATGAGCCATCAAATACTTTTTTAATTCAAAATACATTTTTAATTCAAATTTAAATTTTTAGATCACTTGTGACAGTGTAGCATTACAGGTAATCAAGAATTCATTATTCATTCATAAAAGACTATTTACCCTGCTCGGCAAATACAAAACGCACACCTCTCAATATGTGAACTCTCTAAAGGTCACGGATTTTTTTATTTTTTATTTTTATACCTTTAATCAATGGGAGGGATTTCTTACACATCTTTGTAACCTCCTTGCCACCCACTCCAACTCTGGCAGATTCCCAAATACAGTTCCAAGCCTTGCCAGTACTTGGCACTCAGTAAATAATTATTAAAAATGAAAGTGCCATTCTTAAAAGACTACGCCAAGATTTCAGCTAAAGGATCAGACTATTTGGGGTTTTTTTGGTTTTTTTTTGAGATAGAGTCTTGCTCTGTTGCCCACGCTAGAGTGCAGTGGTACCATCTCGGCTCACTGCAACCTCCGCCTCCCAGGTTCAAGCCATTCTCCTGCCTCAACCTCCTGAGTAGCCGAGACTACAGATTTGCGCCACTATGCCCAGCTAACTTTTGTATTTTTAGTAGAGACAGGGTTTCACTACGTTGGTCTTGAACTTCTGACCTCATGATCTGCCCACCTCAGCCCCTCAAAGTGCTGGGATTACAGGCATGAGCCACTGCACCCAGCTAAGATCAGCCTATTGGTTAACAAACATATGTATGTTAATTTAAGGCCAATATTCTATAAAAGTTTTTGTTGTAATGCTTTGACATTTATTAATTTCCATCTACCTTGGTCAAGCTAACTTTGATACCTTTGCAGTATCTGCATTAAATCCCTTTCCTTAGCCAGGTGGGGTGGCTTACGCTCCCAGCAGTGTGAGAGGCCAAGGCAGGCAGCTCAGGAGTTCAAGACCAGCCTGACCAACATGGCAAAACCCCATCTCTACAAAAAGTAAAAAAAAACTAACCAGGCATGGGCAGGTACGCTTGTAGTCCCAGCTACTTGGGAGGTTGAGGTGAGAGGATCGCTTGAACACAGGATGCAGAGGTTTCAATGAACTGAGATGATGCCACTGCACTCCAGCCTGGGTTACAGAACAAGAACTTGCCTCAAAAAACAACAACAAAAAGCCTTTCAATCATGCTTCCTAAGTACCTGTGCATACTAGAATCATATAAGGTCCAAACTATATTGTCTGGAAAGTTCTGTGTATCACTCCAACTAGACCATACACCTCTCAAGGGCAGGCCTGTGTCTCAGGCATTTCTATCCCTGAACAGGTACAATACTTGGCCCAAAGTGGCTGCTGAGTATATGTCTGCTGAAGTAAACAGAACTGACTTTGGGCATTAGTAACAGTCCTTACAGTTGTTCTGACAGAAAATTTAAATCATAACTTTTTTAGACCCACAATAAAATACTGATTTAAATCCAAAAAGCATCTTGTACTGGATTGTAGTAGAGCCAAGTGATAGATGTCAGAAAAACTGGAAAAATTCTCCTGAGACTTGAGAACAGACTACCAGTATTAAATTTTAAAGGCAGGCCACCTCTACCTGTTTCATAGAAAACCAACGTTATATAGAACAGTGAGAACCACTCAATCAGTGGTTTTTCTGGGCTCTAGTCACACTTGACTAAACACAGAAACCTAAGTCTGAGCTGTCTTCAAGACTGTCTGTACACAGTCACCTTGTGACTTAATTCCATTCTCAAAAAGCCACAATACATTGTACCATTATACTCGATGGGGCCACATTATGTAAGAGTCTTTTCATTTCTAGAGTCACCACTCAGTACGGGCCCTCAAGTTCTACTTAGACTAGCCCCGCAGTCTAAGTGGATGCGTTTCCAGCTTTTGCTCTGTTTAATCGATCTGTCAGCTAACAACCAAACTAATTTCCCTTTAAGGCCAGTGCTTCAAAATGTTGGATGATTCTGTCAGCCCCTCCCTTACTATTTAAACACCTGGCAATATCTGGAGACATCTTTGATTGTCAGAAATGTAATCTAGTGGGTGGAGGCCAAGGATGCAGCTAAGATATCCTACAGTGACAACCACTACAAGACAACCACCGCCCCAACACACGGAGACACACATGGGGTGGGGAGGTGGGGACGGAGTGGAAGAAAGGGAGAGAGAGAGAGAACAAAGAATGATCCGGCCTTAGATGACTGTGTTGTCTCTGGCTAGCCATTTAAACTCCTTGAGTGTCAGTTTTCTCATCTGTATGTACTACATGGTCAAATACCTATCTTAAAGATGGTTGGGAAGAGTGAGTCACTCTATGCAGAACACTAAGCTGTGTGAGCTGTGTCTACAAACTGGACACTTCACATATCTTTAAGTTGTTTTGTTGGTCTTTTCTCTCAAACAGAATTATTCTCTCACTAAAAAGACTAGAATGGACACCAATAATGGGAACAGAAGCCCCCAAGAAGTGGAGTTCACATGAACATCAGAGGTGTTTTTCTGGGCCTGGATAAATTACATGTCAATAATATAAGCTGAACAAGTGCTATTAGCCTGAAAAGGTGTCTCTTAATGCTATTATAAAAAAAGGTAGTAAGTAGATTTGGAAAACTGTAGGCTGATGAACCTGCCATTTGAAAAAAAAAAAAATGTCTACATTAAGATGGGTGTATAAGGACCCAGCATCAGAGAATCATGGCAAACTAACCTCTTTTCTTTGACAGAACTACTAAAGTAGGGAACACTATACTGACAGTATGTATCTGGAGTGCTATGTCAAATCTGACAAGATCTTTCATGATGCTCTTGTGGAAATGTAGCCTGGGTACCATGACAATTAAATAGATCTGTAACCATTGGAATAACCGCACCAAAGGTGGTGCCTAACCCAGTGCCACCACATGGACATCTGCTCTCATTCCCACACCCTCCTTTCTGCTGCAACTGAGGAACTGTCCTTGGACCACCTGTGGCCAAGCCTCCAGGGTTCTGGACCCAGCCTTCTTGCCTTCTGGAACACTCTAGCAGATCACTCTCACCCAATTTCAAACACACCCTACTAACTTGGTCCCACCCTCCCGTACTCCCCCAGTTTCTGCACATTCCTCTGCCTCTCCCTCAATCGTCTTGAGTCCTGTCTCTCAACTATCTTTCTCATCATGTCACAAAATAGGAAATTTTGAGGTTATTTTTCTGTCCTCAATTTACTGTCAGGTCCTGAACTTGCATTCAGGAAGCCAAAACAGAACAAAAAACAGAAAGTAGGAAAAATGATGCCTGACTTAGTAGCAGTGGAAACTTAAAAAAAAAAAAAAAAAATTAAGCACATAAAGTTGAGAATGAGTCAACTAGTTGTGTGTGATGCATAAAGTGATGTTATCTTACGTAACAGAATATGTTAACTCTCTGTGTAACGGTCGTTACTTTACCTGGAACTTAGTTTCAGGGATATTTTGCAAAATAAGACTTAAACTATGATTACTACCTGAAGATACAACCTGCTGCCCTGGGGAATGGTATGCGTAGGAAGGGTCACCGGGCAAATAGTAAAGTCTTTTTTTTTTTCCCTGAGGTCTTGCTCTGTCGCCCAGGCTGGAGTGCAGTGGAACAATCACAGCTCACTACAGTCTCGACCTCCTGGGCCCAAGTGATTCTCCCATCTCAGCCTCATTAGTACCTGGGACTACAGGCGGGCGCCACCACACCCATGCGATGTTTTAAAATTTTTGTAGAGATGTGGGTCTCACTATGTTGGCCAGCACACTCCTGGCCTCAAGCGATCCTCCTGCCTCGGCCTCCCAAAGTGCTAAGATTACAGGTGTGGGCCACTGGCTCTTTTCTTGAATGAATACGGTAATTTTAAAAATTTGATCATAACTCAAGACTCGGTGAATTTGGCAGTAGAGCCAGTGTTATAACCCTAAATTTACCCAGTCACTAGAAAGCATAGGTCAAGGTTTACTGACTCAATCAGATCCAGATTTTCTGACTCAGATTTTAGAATATTAAGACATGATTCAAGAAGGTGAAGAAACCAGAGTGCCAGGGAGCCATCACTTTATGTTGGCGAAAGAACCACCCGATCCCGAGGCGCGCTGAGGGAAGAGCTTGGATTCCTACCCACCCCTCCAACTTTGGGAAACGGTGAATGGAAAGGAGCCCATGATTAGGAATCACGAGATTCCCCACCTGTTAGAACCACAAGCCTCCTTCTGCGGATTCTAACGTCTTTAGTACTCCCTTCACCCCATCGACCAACGGCGAAGATCACATTTTGTCTACAAATTTGCCTCCCTCCCAACGGCACTAGGGGAGCCGCACAGAGCAAACGAGGGCTTCCCTGAAAGTTCCAACAGCCAGAGGCCTGAGAGTAGAGGCAGGTCCGCTTCGCGGCCTGCGACTAAGGGCCAAGCCTGAAGACCCCGCCACTCGGCTGCCGCGCAGAAGACCCCCTCCTGTCTCCGCGCTCTGGCCCGCTCACCCGCGTGGGACATTGGCACGGTGAGGTTCCCGTAGTGCTCCTCGTTGTAGAGGACCACGGCCGAGGCGTTCCTCCGCGCCGCCACCAGTACCTTCTCCTTGAAGGTGCAGCCCCCGCGAGCCACCAGGGCGACCCAGGGCGCAGACACTCGGCCGCCGGGCGCGGGCACGAAGAAGCGCGTGTCGGGCTCGCAACCCTCAGGGTCTCCGCTGGGCGCCCGCGGGACGCCCACCAGGCCCTGAGCGCCCTCCTTGGGCGAGCTGTCGCCGAAGCGGCCGCTCTCCGAGACGCTCCACACCGTCATGTTGGTCTGCGGGTCCACGTACTCGGTGCTCACCACGGCGGAGAACCACTCGAGAGCCCGGCCCCGGGCCTCGGGCGGACACAGGGCCAGGACGAGCAACGCCAAAGCCAGCGCGCCGCGGGCCCTCACGCCGGCCTCGGGCCCCCGCCACGCCATGGCAGCGCCGCAGGGCTGACTACAAGTCGGGCTCACGCGCTAATGCGGTGCAGCAGAGAAAAGCAGCCAAACGGACGCAAACTGAAGTCCAGGAAGACTGAGGCGGGGTGGAGCGGGAGGAGAGGAGGGGCCGCTGCGCACGCGCACCTAGCGGAGCGGCCAAAGGGCGTGGCCGGACCTGGCCCCGCCTCCTCCCGACCGGCTGCGTTGTGCGCAGGCGTACGCGCCGCGGAGGCTCTGACCGCGAGCTGTCCGGGCGTCTGGCGCACGTTTTCCGAGGCGTGCCGTGCAGCCTGCACCGCAGTTTGCGCCACAGCGGACCCCTTGGGGCCAGGGGCCTAGTTTGCGCAATAGGACGTCTATCGTTCCCGAAGTGCGGTGAAGTAACTCCAGAGAAATGGGAAGCTTCCCCGAAAGCAGGTGTGGGACCGTGGTTCTGTAAAATCGCTGAAGCAGATGTTTGTGGAGAGTTTACTGTGCAAGGGACATGGCAGAAGCCTTGTCTAAATAGTTTCACAGTTAATTAACCAATCCTGGTGGCGCCCACCTATAGTTGCCACTCCAAAGACTGAGATGGGGCGATCACTTGAGCCCCGGAAGTCGACGCTGCAGTGAGCCAGTCTGGGCGACTGAGTGAGCGCCTGTCAATTAAAAAAAAAATCCGGGCCGGGCGCGGTGGCTCAAGCCTGTAATCCCAGCACTTTGGGAGGCCGAGGCGGGTGGATCACGAGGTCAAGAGATCGAGACCATCCTGGTCAACATGGTGAAACCCCGTCTCTACTAAAAATACAAAAAATTAGCTGGGCATGGTGGCGCGTGCCTGTAATCCCAGCTACTCAGGAGGCTGAGGCAGGAGAACTGCCTGAACCCAGGAGGCGGAGGTTGCGGTGAGCCGAGATCGCGCCATTGCACTCCAGCCTGGGCAACAAGAGTGAAACACTCCGTCTCAAAAAAAAAAAAAAAAAAAAAAAAATCCGAATGCATTTTATATTTTAAAACATCCAAAACTACGCACACATTTTCCAATTGCCTTTTGCTACCAATATTATGATGCTAATTGATTCCTTATAGGTTCTCAAGTATATTTACAACAGCCCTTTTTGTTATAGTATTATAAAATCTGTAATTTTGAAATAAACAGAGGCATACAACATAAGTGCTTATTTAGGTACTCTGATGCCCACTACTGATGACATACATCGTAAGTGCTCATTTAGACGTTAGATTGCCTAAATGAGCACTTAAGTTTTTTGTCAACAAAAAAGGGAAAAGGATTTGTTTGGACAAGAATAGCCAGTGATACAGAATCCATGTAAAACTGCTTTGAGTACAAAGCCTACTGGTGTCAGGCAGCTCAGAACACTGATTTCTGATTGACTCATCTTTCTGCATTAAGGGTCTATAATTGTAGGAAGTAGGTTGTTACTACCACACCACCTGTTTATTTCGTTGTTGTTTTTTTTTAGATGGAGTCTCACTCTGTCACCCAGCCTGGAGTGCAGTGGCATGATCTCTGCTTACTGCAACTTCTGCCTCCCATATTCAAGTGATTCCTCTGCCTCAGGCTCCTGAGTAGCTGGGATTACAGGCGAGCACCACTACACCCAGCTAATTTTTGTATTTTTAGTAGAGACAGCGTTTCACCATGTTGGCCAGGCTGGTCTTGAACCCCTGACCACGGCTTCCCAAAGTGCTGGGATTACAGGCCTCAACCAGTGCACCTGGCCTGCACCACAAGTTTTTATTGGGCCTTAAACCCTCTCCATTTCCTCTTTGTTAACTGTCTTTCTTGGACTGCCTCTGTGCTCCAGAATGCAGCCTGATCCCCAGCCCATAAATTTCCATGAAGTTGGATCTCCTCTTCTTTCCCATCAGGAAACTGAATTTTAAAAGGCCCAAAAGGCCCCAGGCTTAAATTATCATGGTGTATGCAGGCTGAAACAGGTTTTAGGAAACCCTCCATCACCACCCTTTATGCTCCAGCAAAACAAATACTGTAGTTCCCCAAAAACGTGTGTTTGCAGTTTCATGTTAGGTCTTGCAAATTAATTTACTTCTTCCTCCAGTGACCTGCTGCTCCTGGCTCTTGTCCCAGCAAACACTAAGTTAGTCTTCACATGTTGACTCAAAAGCTATTTTTTCAGTGAAACCTGCCTTGGATAACTACAGGCAAACTTGGGTGCTCCTCTAGTTTTCCATGTTGCTTGTGTATATTATGTTTGTATTCATGCTGTACCAGCAATACTGCTTTCCAATGTTTTGGCCTTCTTTTAATGTTGTGAACTTCACAAGGGCTAGGATTGTGTCCTTGCTCTTTTCATGAGCCTACCTGACCTAGCACAGTGTTGTGTGTGGAATTGATAATTTCTGAAATAAGCGGAATAGTTTTTTTTTTTTTTTTTTTTTTTTTTTTGAGACAGAGTCTTGCTCTGTCGCCCAGGCTGGAGTACAATGGCATCATCTTAGCTCACTGCAACCTCTGCCTCTCGGGTTCAAGCGATTCTCCTGCCTCAGCTTCTCGAGTAGCTGGAACTACAGGAGCATGCCACCACACCTAGCTAATTTTGTATTTTTTTTTTTTTTTTTTTTGGTAGAGACAGGGTTTCACCATGTTGGCCAGGATGGTCTAGATCTCTTGACCTCGTGATCCGCCCACCTCAGCCTTCCAAAGTGCTGGGATTACAGGCGTGAGCCACCATGCCCGGCCTTTTTTTTTTTTCTTTCGACTATTCCAGAGTTAGTTCCGTCCTCAGGATGGGTTACAGGCTTGCTGAGCAAAGTCCAGCAGGCTGATAGGAACAGACCTTGCAGCTGTTGAGTTCTTAGGTCCAGCACAGTTTCCTGGTCTTTATTTTTTATTACCAGCTCCAGGCCTCAGTTTTTCCCTGATCCAAACTTGCCACCACTACCTCAAACCTTTAGGACCTTCTTTCCCTGCACTAGCTGCCAGGGGCCACCCACTTTCGTCAATTCCCCTTCTGCACTGTCCCAGAAGAATAATAAACCTTCTCTCTAACTCTGGTGGGAGGGAGGGAGAGAAAGGGGCAAGAGTTGTCATTATCTTTTCTTTTAATCATTTTATTGTGGAAACTTTCAGATATTTCTAAAAGCAGAGAGACTGGTATAATGAACCTTTATGCACTTGTAACTTAGATTCAGCAATGATCCGTAACCATAATAGGTCTATTGCCTGAAGCACATGGTGAGTCAATACACTGATACACCAGGTTGCAGCAGAGAGAGGTTAAATTGTAGGGCTGTTGAACGAGGAGATGGGAGAAACCTCAAATCCATCTCCCAGAGGAGTTTGGGCCTAGGGTTCTTAGAGTTTTGGAGTGAGCTAAGGTGTGGAGGTCATTGATTGGTTAGAGTGCAGGGTAAAATCATGGGATAGGGAGCTGAAGAAATTGTATTCTCATGATGATTCTGTTCTGTGGGGGTCTTCAGATCGGTTAGCGTCAGCTGTTTCACTGGAATTAGGGATCTCAAAAACATCGTACACAATTCTTAAACAAAAATCCTTCTGATTCTAACATTAGAAGTCCTATCAATAGGAACAACAGAGCTACAAATGGTCAGTGTCTACTGCCACATGACTTGTAGGTCAAAGTGCAGCCTGATTAATGCTTACCTATAACCATATTTCTATCCAGAATTCCTGTTAACCCAATGAAGGTGGCTTCAGAGCAACTCATGGCTAATTTGATTTAAAGTATATACCTGGCCACTTCCTGTCTCCTCCAATGGATTATTTGGAAGGTATGAAATTAAATAATTCAAACTTAAAGTTGTTGGAACTTGAAAGTATTCTGAGCCTTGGGAGAAATGTGGCTGATGCAACCTGAGTCACGTGACATGGCAGCTGCAACTTCTGCCCTTTTTCCTGTAAGTAATTGAGAAGGCCAAGCAGCACTAGAGGTAAGACCCCCCGCAGATTTTTGCCCTTCTTCACAGACTGGTAAAGTAAATTAATAAATTAATCTTCCTTGGAATGTAGCAATCTATAACCAAATGACTATAACATATGCACTGGTCTGATACGGAAAATATTGTAATCCTGCTAAAACTTCTCTGTCTCTACCCAAACAAGTAAAACCTTAACTTTTCTGCTTTGGAACACTGACCCTGCTCATTTGGACTCTGTTTCTGGATGACCATCCTCAAGCTTTGCACTTGAATAAATTCTATAAACTGTATGTTCTGAATCTCATGATTTAAGGTTGACAAAGGAAATCCCAGATATTATATCATTTTATTTGCAAACATTTTAATATGTACCTTTAAAGCACAGGGACTCTGTAAAAACATAAAAACACAATATTATTGTCACATTAAAAAAAAAAAATGACCACAGTTCTTTAATATCATTGAATATCCGGTCAGCACACAAATTTCCTCTGATTGAATCCTGAATGTTATTCTACATTTAGTTTGTTTGGATCAAGATTTACACATTGCACCTGGTTGAAATGTCCCTCAAGTTTCCTTTATTTATAGGTTTTTTTCTTTTCAGTTTTTTAAGAAATTGGAGGCCGGGCGCGGTGGCTCAAGCCTGTAATCCCAGCACTTTGGGAGGCCGAGGCGGGTGGATCACAAGGTCGAGAGATCGAGACCATCCTGGTCGACACGGTGAAACCCCGTCTCTACTAAAAATACAAAAAATTAGCTGGGCATGATGGCGCGTGCCTATAATCCCAGCTACTCAGGAGGCTGAGGCAGGAGAATTGCCTGAACCCAGGAGGCGGAGGTTGCGGTGAGCCGAGATCGCGCCATTGCACTCCAGTCTGGGTAACAAGAGCGAAACTCCGCCTAAAAAAAAAAAAAAAAAAAAAAAAAAAAAAAAAAAAAGAAATTGGATGCTTTGTCCTGTATAATTTCCCACATTCTGTATTTGGCTCCTTACACCCTCATGCTGAACACAGTATTACCTATGAGTGTGAACGACGGTTTCCTTCATAATATGCAAAAACAGCCTCCAGTAAAGAAATGCTTTAGGGGGTGAGGCTGATACAGAATGGCACGAGTCATTCACAACCTCCAAATGAAGAATTTTGTATTCAACAAAATAGTTTGTTGTCTCATTTATTAACCTTGTAATACACGTGGGGAGGAAGATTCTCAGTTTACAATCTCA